AAGGAAGTTTCTAGAAGAAATAATTCATTGGATATTATGAAGTGGATTAAAACAGCAAAGCACACTGTTGCATGTGAGGAGAAAAGAGTATTTAGCATTTAAATAATTTAAATTATGGGTGGATTATCCCAGCATGGACTGTGAAAGAGTTCCACATATTCGTATGGACGGCAAGTGTGATGTAAATATTTAACAAAACTTAGCTTTTATAACACATTACGTTTTGCTTATTCCATTGTCTATATTTTTTGGTCTTTTATGAATAGTAATGAAATGAGAATTGTTAAGTAGAATGTGTGTTCAGTCTTTCGCACCATCACAATTTGATACAGAATGTATCCAAAAGGACTCATTTTATTCCTTAAAAAGCAATTACCTCTGATAATTCAATCACAGGTTGGAAAAGACCAATTCTAGCAGTGAGAGAGTACATGTAGAAGCATTTCCACTTTAAGACCAGTCTCATAAGCAAGGTTTGTTCAATGTCACAAATGTTCGCCAAACAGGAGGGGGGGGGGGGGAAGTGATTCTCAGTTTTGCTGTTCTTTGAATTTTGATGAGTCTCAAAATAAAATCTGCTCCTTGAGGGCATCTTTTTTTTTTTTTGTGAATAGTTAAAAATTACATTGTTGTTGTTGGTTTATACTTTCCTAATGCAAATGTATGTATTTGCATTGAGCCACCTTGTGATTTATCAATTCTTATTGATTCTTAGATTTATTTCGCACCGTCAGTTTGTTACGTAGCTCATTGATTCCCGACCTTTATTGAGCCGAGACACAGATTTTAAGTTCGAATAATCATACAGCACACCAACAAAATTGTCCCAAAATGAGGATAATTTATTTGCTCTTTCTGTTGTTGCTGGCATACATAGATGGATAAAAATAAATTATATATATATATATATGGATGGACATATATGTTAAATCAATAATTTTCTCACCAATTAAGTGTAATTTGATCATTTCCGGGGGCACACTGGTTGGGAATCACGGATGTCGTGTGACTTTGTATTGTTCAGTCTGCCACCAGGTGGCACCGCGGCGTCACAAGACAGATAAGAGAAAGCTTTTGCCCATCAAATCAAGCTGTGTTTGACATGTTACGTGTAGTTTGCTGCAGATGACAAATGAAACGATAGTAGAAAAGTGACACAATAAAATCTTATCTACCGTCTTGGCGAAAAATGTCATATCGCCCAGCTCCAATTTTTTTTCAGTGACACATACGATATTTTTCTTTGATGGTGTGCCGTGACATTTTTCTAACACAAAATGGGTGCCGTGGCTCAATAAAGGTTGTGAAACGCCGCCTGACTGTACATTTAGACATACCTGTCATCTAGGTATCCACCCATCATGTCATGAGATACCAAGGTGCGACGTAAGCAACTCGGCAGTGCGGGTTCTCGCGCTGCCAATGGGACGACTGCCACGTTGAAGGGGTTCGCCTCATTTTGTTTCCATGACAACAGCTCATCCAAAGTCTGAAGACTACAGCTAATTGGTTCAGTTGTGTCAGCATCATAATGTTTCACTGAATGGGATAGAAGATGTACAATAGGAATTGACAAAACAGGAAGCAAAGATTGTGCTATTGACAATATTGTGTATTTTGTTGGCCGTGTTTCATGAATCACTTGTGTGACGTTACCAAACCTGGCAGTGGCGAAGGCAAATATTTGATGACTTCATGAATACCATGCAAGTCCACAGGCTGATGCACACAACCCTCCATCCTAGTAAGAGACAAAAGGAAAACAGTTTAGGTTGTACTTTTGAAACATTTGTTTTAATTTCTATTCAACTAATTATCATATAATTATACTTTGTCTCATGAAATCACGTTTCAACGAACATTTTTTTAATAGTTCAAAGGACAATGTTATACAGACATGAACAAAATTGCTGGCACACCACTGTTAATGAACAAAAAAAAATAGCATGATTTACTATTGACACTAGAAAATAGTATTCATAAATAATTTTATGAAAATTAATCACTAAAAAGCAGAATAGTGTGTTTGAACAGTGGTTCACCTGAACTATTTCAAAAAAAAAAAAAAAACATGAAACAGGCCAGGAAAAAAAATTATGGTACTCCAAGGAAAACATTTGTAAAAATTGATGATCATCTTGTATCGCAATAAACATGTGATCAATATCAATGGAAAGTGCCTTTGATTAAATGCTCCAAAGAAAAAAAATCAGGAAGCAATTTCCGACCTCGGCAGTGGGAATGTTGAAGGCAGCGTGCAGCCAACTCCAAAAACGCAGAAGTAGCTAAACCAACAAGAAAAAAGCAGTACCAATTTGCCGGTCAAATTTAAAATTACTGTCCAGTTTAAGACCCAAGTTTGAGACTGTTGGCTTTAGACATGGATCCGGGGGTGAAAATTGGACCAAACACTATCACTTCTGTTTTGATGATATTGTGCATACGAACCTGATCAAACACTTCCGGATGATAGATGGTGTACAACTAAATGACTTCCCTGTCTTTGTCGTGCTTCACCCTCACTATCACACTCTCAAGTCACTATCAGGGAAGTAAATTATCAATGGACTATGGCAATCATGAGCCCGTTAAAAAGTTTAAGTCGACCTAAGATGTGTTATTAATGGCAATGCATACACTGCAAGAGAGTACTGAATGAACATTGAATGAAGGTTAATGTTAACCATCGGGGTAGCATCTTCTGCATTTACAGTGCCACGGCTGTTGGAGCAGCACACTGCGCATTACATTACAATTTAATGTACACAAAAATAGTTACGAATAATCATCCTAATTTATGATGATCATTATTATTATTATTGTTACAGTATTATTATTCCCGTAAAAACACTAGGGACCTCGAAGCAGTCGATACTCTGGCCCTAACAAGAAGGATTTTGTATGTAGACGTCCTTGTGTGGCTGTTTTTTTTTTTTTTGTTACATAATGCACACTTTGTCAGGTAATTGGGAGGTTTATTAAAAAAAAAAAAAAAAAATCACTGGACCTGAAATGTGGGAGAATCATTAATGTGACAGAAAACCAAGTTTTCAAAAGAAGGGATTACAGTAGAGCAGGGGTGTCAAACTTTTTTGTCACAGGCCACATTTTAGTTATAGTTCCCCTTGGAGGGCCGTTATGACTGAAACCAAATTAAAAAAGTCAATAATAACGGTTTATTCAACTATTGTTTAAGTTATTGTAATGAGGGGTTTGGTTACATGACAATGCTTACAATATATTATTTATTACATATGAGAAATTTAAATTTTGGTAGAGATTTTAGTAAGCATCATGGAAGTTGACATGTTTGATTTGCTTTCGCGGGCCAAATAAAATGATGTGGCAGGCCAGATCTGGCCCCCGGGCCTTGCGTTTGACACCTGTGCTGTAGGTGCTATTACCAATTAAGCTTAATTACGAACCTTAATGACACTGAATCATGTTTGAGTCATGTGAACTTTCTGACAGTTAACAATACTCAAATGTGTTGTTATTTTAGCAACGTGGCAAGGCGTGGAGTGCGATCTGACAAAACGAAGAATCAACTCCGACAGCACGCTCTTAAAGTTAAACATCAGATCTAACTTTCGACTGTATCAAACCCGGTGACCGGCAAACGAAAAGAATAAGAAATCGGGTGAGAACACAAACACATTTCCAGGCGTGTCATTTGACAAACACTACAACTACGTCATGAATGTCGGATCTCAAGCTTAAACGGGAACCAACACAGTAATCGATCAACTATAAAAATGTGCAAGAGCTAACAGTGCCAACAGTTTTCGTTTCATTTGCTGAAAAATTAGATCATGCTAATAATAAAAAAAAAGAAGTCCGTCCTCGGTGGGGGTCGTTGAAACATACGAAATCTGCCTTCGTTCCACTATTTGAAACATAATTACAATTAAGCAAGATGAACACAAGAAAAAAAAAGGTAAACCTGGTGAACAGGCAAGACTTTACCGTCAGTTTTCTGTGTTGTTTATTGTCGATTATCACAGGCCCATTTGCGTCACGCTCTTGAATACTGTATGGCTTTTACTTTTCTTCTTCTGCTGCTTCTTCTGCTTCTTCTTCTGCTGCTTCTGCTTCTTCTTCTTCTGGAACTGAGAGTTGCCGCTTGGAATTGAAACGTATTTACGTGGGACAGGAGAAGTGAACCAATCTATTTTTTAGCCAATGGACGCTACAACTTCTTGTTTACTTGTGTGTGCACATTTTGTTTGAGCATGACGTCTCTGATGCACCCGTGAAAGGACAAGTTGATTCTCTCCAGCTTCAAACAACAAAGCGTATGCAGGAAAAGTGGTTAAGATTGCAGGACTGTCCGTGTTTTATGGTTTGTGTTATTTTATGTTAGCTGTTTTGTAAAGCGCTTTGTTACAGCTGCAGCTGTTGTCAAAGCGCTATATAAATAAAGATGGATTGAATTGTATTCTTCTGCTTCTTCTTCTGTTTTATAGTGGTTGGCAAACAATTTTTGGTGCGTTACTCAAATAGAGTAACATCCTATTTATCCATATTCTAACCAAAAATAAAAATAGAAATTTAAAACTTAGCTCAGTGGAACTTTTATGCAAAATGTCTTTAGTATTCAAAGCCACTTTCTGACCTCTCAGCTCTTGAATCAGTTTTTGTCTTGCCTGACCCTATTTGACAAAAGACTCTAGTGTATTCTCTTTATGCTGTGGACCTATGACTTCCTCAGAATTGATTTCCTGGACCTTTTATATTTCAAATTGAGAACCCCAGCATGAGAGTCACTGTCTGAGGTATAAGACTCATCCACAGCAGTCTTTTGCATGTTTCTTCATTAAAAACAATCTACTATTGAGACCAGTATGCCCAACTCTCATTCTGCAGATGATCTCTTCCTCCACTACAGGTATTGACATGCGACTAGGTCGAGTACTGCCCGCGTAGTTGAAAATAATTTAATAATGTTACTGTGGGTGTAGGCCCATATGAGCAAACGAAGCAGGAAGTAAACCGGAAATGTGCGGTTCATTTGCCAAGAGCGGAAGTACGTCACGGACCTGGCATACAGGAGAAGAAAAAAAAGACACTGGAAACGACATTTAGCCATATTTTATAATATATACCGTGAGTATGTTACACTACCTTTACATGTGACACGACAACGACAAGAAAACCTGTGATTTGTTTGTGGTCGGGTTGTCGTTTAACTTAAAAGTGGAACGCGTGCTGAATACTGCATGTTCCAGACTGGGTAGTTTAACATGGCGCCGCATGACGAGTGGGATGAAACTTTTATGAACCGGTTGAATGAGAACATTCACAAAACAGCCACGAAGGAAAGCTATTTAACCGAAAGGTTCGCCTGTTAGCTGGAACCTACCTCAGCTGATTTATGGCGAGAGGACGGGAACCCTGGACTATCAGGACACAGTCCACATACACATTACAAAATGGTCAATCTACAACTGTAAAAAAAAAAAAAAAAAAAGAGTGGATCATAGTGATAAATACTGTTATTGACATCTGGATCCATATTTAAAAATGTTCATCCTTGGTCTGTGTCACGCCCTGTATATGAAGTTTTTAAAATCGGCCGTATGGTTCATGAATGACCCTCAAGACCGCTGAAAATCTGTGAAGTTACCGACTTGAGATCAGTGAGCTTTATGTATGCTTAATTTATTTATCCGTCTATGTAATAAGTGAGAAGCGCAACCTGCGTTTACATATCATGTTTCATGGAACAAAGTGATATGAAGGAAACAGTAAGGCTACTGATTTATTTGCATTGTTGTTATAATCTACACTTTAGCTTGTGCCTTACTGATTTACAGTCTACTATACTGTATATTTGTGTGGCAGAATTATGTCAGGGCCAAACCTGACTTGTTTTGCACCTTCGGCGAGACATACTTTTGCATGCATGCAAAAGTATGTGTCGCCTTATACAGGCCTACATATATCTCCTCCTTCATATCAATGCTTATAAGACATCGTTTGGATTAATAAAGACCCATGTTTATCATTCAAACGTTGAACAAGGATGCAATACTGTTTCCTAAAGCCCCAGACTATAACTTTGTAAAATTGCTGCACTGGTTGAGTTACGAAAGGTGTGTAGCTGTCTCATGGTTAAATTAATAGCTTGTCACGAAGCCTCAAATTCTAAAAGTTGCTAAAAAACAACTAAAAGTACAAAAACTGTGGTCTTTTGAGGCTCAATAGAGAGTAGCAAAATATTCGCACACTTTATAAATAGCCGAGAGCCTTCAGGTTACTTTATCTTTACATGATGCACAGTTAAGTTAATGTCATTTATATCTGCATACCTTTATCTTTTGCCCATTTCTCCTCTTCCTCCTTTCGCCCCTTCTTGAATTGGACACCTTATGGTTTTTTGGGAGCGTTTCTCCATTGGTGTTAGTGTCATCACCTTTTCCAATCAGTGTGAGTCACAATCACCAAGGTCCGTTTGATGTAAAGTAAGCAAACTCACTTGACAGGAGAGGGCAGAGTTGTGTTTTTTTTTTCTTTCCCCTTCAATTGCCGATACTACATTAAAAGTAGCTATGAGTCTCTGTTTGTTTTATGAGTGGTTATGAAATGTAATTTATTTGGAGACAAGAATTTATTTTGTGGGCCCCTCTCCTCCTTGCTTTACCTCTCATAACCTGCTCACAGCTCCTGCAGCCGCAAGTTGACGAATTTTCAGTTTCGGTTTCAGTTTATACCTGCAATGTAGTAAACTTGAATTTTAATTCATGCTTTGTCTTTACCTTAGTTATTTTTTGAAAAATACAGTAGAAATGAACCTTGAAAAAAAAAAAAGCAAAACAGTTTGCAGTCGCAATTTTGTGGAAAAAAAATACAATTACATTATTTTCATAATCATGCAACCCGATTAAATATGGCGGTACAGTTTTTCTATCATGTTTTTCACCGTGCAATATGCTTTGTCAGACAAAACCACTTCCAATGAAGGTGGTGCGTTGTGTTCAACATTATCGACTGTAAATCTACGAAGGCGTTTTTCGGAACTTTTTTGGAACAGGCTCTGCATTGTGAATAGAGCAATAGTTGTATACCGGTGTTTTAAAATATTTTTATTTATTTATTTATTTTTGTGGGAAGGGCATAATGTGACACTATGGTGTTATTACGAGTTGGATTACATCACGAAATACCCACTGAAGGCCCGGGTCCAAAACTTACGACCCGCCACAAATCGACAAGAGGTAATGTTTCCTTTAAAATTCGAACAAAAAGTGTCGGGAGCTCCTTGGCTCAGCACCACTGAAGATTGCCCCCCAAGCGATCAGCCAGGGGCACTTTTCACTGGTGATGTTACACTGCCGTTGCTCTGTGTTTAACCAATCAGAGGGTGCTATGGGTGAGACAATGCTGGAAACAGAGTCGTGCCAAATAAACCCAGTTTTTAATTGATCTTCTATTGGCAGTCACATTAAAAAAAAAAAAAGGCAGATGCCGATATAAGCATGCCCGATAATCAGTCATTTACATCCCACATGATTAGATGCGAGCTCGCCACTGCTTGTCGACTGCGAAATAATGAAATGGTACCGAAGAATCAAAATGCAATCGAACGTAGGGAGTGCACCCGAGCCAAAGTAACATAGTAATGATAGCATTCTTTTGTATTAAAAATACTTAAGTGTGAGTAAAAGTTATGTTGTATTGAAACTATTCCCACAAGTACAATTCTTACTCAAGTAAATGTAACAATAAATGTAGTGCATTACCACCAACCTCAGCCCATGACTATGAACATAAGTAGTAGAAAATCGATGCCTTTATATACATTAGGAGATTGTTTTGAGAAATACATTTCAACTTATCCTTACCTTTTTGCAGCGTGTTCAGTGTGTTGGAGGACCTGGTGTTGATACGGTCACAGAAGATGGCAAAGCTCCAGGGGTTTGATTTTTGGAGGAAAACCCTGAAAGAAGCTTGCTTCGTGGTGGCACCCATGGTGGACCAGAGCGAACTAGCATGGCGTCTACTTAGCCGTCGCCATGGCGCTCACCTATGTTACACGCCTATGCTGCACGCGCAGGTTTTCCTTCGTGATGCTAATTACAGAAGAGAAAATCTTTATAATGAGGTCTGTGAAGAGGACCGACCACTAATAACTCAGGTATGAATATTTTAACTACCTCAAAGTGTATACACTGCAATACACTGAACTGCCACTAGAGGCACCACACCTGAATTTGGATGAAATCAAAAAGCTTAAACCAGGTGTCAAAGTCAAGGCCCAGGGGCCACATCTGGCCCGCCACATCATTTTACATGGCCCGCAAAAGCAAATCAAGCATGTCAAGTTCCATGATGCTTGCTAAAGTCTGAACCAAAATTTCAAATTGTCATATGTAATCCACAATAACAGTCATTATTCTTGACTTCTGATTTTTTAAAAGTAGTTATCAATTTGTTGTGCGCTGTGTATATATGTGGAGGTGATTAAACATTTATATGCTTTCCCAAAAATCATAATGGCCCTCCAAGGGAAACCGTAACTACATTGTGGCCCGCGACAAAAAATGACTTTGACGCCCCTGGTTTAAACAGACAACCACCCCCCCCCCTTGCCCTCCGCAAATCAGTCATTAATTAGAAAGCTGCTATGATTGAAGAGTTTTGAGTTCGTTTTTGAAGCCTAGACGCACACGTAGTTTTATGATGGGCATGTTTATTCTGTGAATCTACACGTAAATTGCGAACAATTAGACAGCCAGCGTTCTCTTTTTTTAGAAGAGGCTTGACAGCGGCTACTTTCAGGGGTTTTTACTGTAAAGAAAAATTTGGGGTTAACTTTGCCTTTAATGGATATCATTTATGCTGTTAAACATATGGTCTGGTACTGCTGAAGAAATTAGGAAAAACACAGTCCTGTTTGAATAACTTATTTTCCCAAAAAATGAATTTGCATTGACCAGGTATGTTAAATAGTGAAGCATGAAATTTATGTAATATATTTTTTCATCAGAACTGATTAGAAAAATTCATGAAAGTAATTGTTTTTCTTTGTTTGCTTTTGTTTCAGTTTTGCGCCAATGACCCTGACGTGTTCATTCAGGCAGCTCTTTTGGCCCAGAACTACTGTGATGCCATTGACCTCAACCTGGGTTGTCCTCAGATGATTGCTAAAAGGGGTACCTGCATTTTCTTCAGAAATTAAGCGTGTGTTAATGTTATCATCAGAGACGTCGTCATGAAAGCAAAACTAACAGTTTTGGCGGTTCTTCAAAGGGCATTATGGCGCTTTCCTTCAAGATGAATGGGAGCTGTTACAAAAAATGGGTAATGTGTTTTTTTTTTTGTTTTTTTTTTATGTTCACGTTAATATAAAAAGATAATTTCAGTTATAAATTAGAAAGGCAGCGGAACCTCCAAGATGGGCCATAATCTCTTTTGACGACACTGGTGAGAACTCCCTAATAGAAACATTATTGCATTCAGAACAAACTAACCACATTCAAGATAATGTTCAATTGGAGTCAGCACACATTTGCTCCATTTTTGGAAAGTGGGATAAAACCCACGCTGACAGGGGGAGAACATGCAAACTCCTTACAGGAAGGCCAATTCTAACCCAAATCAATTTATCACTCACATTCATGACCGCATAATTTTCGTGTCCAATTTGATTAGCATACAAATATTTGCTTTTACAAATGCAATTGATTAGTAACGCATACATCTTTTCGACAACTATCTTACTCCATACATTCCTAGTCAGGAATATTCATGCCATTTGCATTGGAAGCCACAGTAGAATACAGAGAATATTATAAACCATACCTACCTGTCTGAGTTCTGTTTGGAGTGTTTTGATGGATAAACTGATTGATCAAATCTCTGGAGCCTTGGGTTAATGGGAGCAGTTTGGTGGTTTCCAGTTTCACAATGAAAGCATGGACGCGTACTATCTGCTGGTTGATTGAATGGTCGCAACAAACAAATATTGGCATGCACAAATACTGTACACACTGTACATACAGCACTTAGAAGCATTACACTTAACCCTCAAAAGAACTTATTACGGGCATGACTCAACTGTTTAATTAGTAAAACTCCTCATTGATGATTTTTTTATTTTCAAAAGTTGATTGTTCATTATTTGCACGTACACAATGCATGCAAAAATTCAAGTATTAATATATTGATGAAACACAGATTTGTGCATCAAACATGCATATATACTATTTTAAGCACAAATATCTGCTTATGCCCGATAAGTGAATGAAGCCCAATTACTTTTTTTTTTGCCTAAAATATAGTGCAGTTTTAATTTCACCTACTTTTCTCATTTAACAGTCAGGTTAGCAAATGAAAAGCTGTCTGTGCCTATCACGTGTAAGATCCGTGTGTTCGAGGACATCGAAAAGACTGTCTCCTATGCTCAAATGCTGGAAAAAGCTGGATGCCAGGTACTTATGCCGACAATGCTCTAGAAATGACTTCTTTTAATTTGGTTTTATTAATACACCAAGTCGCGGCACGGTGGTCGACTGGTTAGCGCATCCGGCTCACAGTGCAGAGGTCAGCGGTTCGTTTCAAGCCCTGGCCTTCCTGTGTGGAGTTGCATGTTCTCCCCATGCATGCGTGGGTTTTCTCCAGGTACTCCAGTTTCCTCCCACATTCCAAAAACATGCAACGTAGGTTAATTGAACAGTCTAAAATTGTCCCATGCTGTGATTGTGAGTGTGAATGGTTATTTGGCTACGTGTGCCGTGACTGGCTGGCAACCGGGTCATGGTGTACCCCGCCGAGTGTCCCAAGACAGCTGGGTAGGCTCCAGCACACCCGCGACCCTCGTGAGGATAAGCAGATTAGAAAATGGATGGATGGATGGATAATACACTAAGTGGACACAACATGACCGCTTGCATAATCAGTTGAGATTAAAAAAATTCTCCCTTTGTTAGAAATATAAGTCCTTTTAATTTTAGTGATAAGTGAGCAGCATACGTGTTTGGTCCTTTTTTTCCCCCCTCTGTAATTAAACAGAATTGTTTAATTGCAAGCATTTGTCTTTTATGTTTAGAATTTTGATAGTTTAATAATTATATTTAGAGGAGGAAATATTCTGTTTTACGAAGACAAATTAAATGTTCTTTTTCCCCCTCGTTTATCTTCAGCTACTCACAGTGCATGGCAGAACCAAAGACCAGAAAGGAGCAATGACAGGAATTGCGAGTTGGGATCATGTCAGAGAAGTCCGGTGAGCTGCAATGATCATATTTCAAACCATGATTATATATTCAATTCTTGACTATGCACTTTATTGAAGATAAACTTATATTTCTGTCCTTTTACATCAAAGAATGCAATAACTCATTATTTTGCAAGATAATACTTTGTATAAGATGTGGCATAGGTTTCCATACAGTACATAAGCCACTTTTCCATTGTATCAGTTCTACCCTGAAGCAGCCTGGCTTCTTTCCTGTGTGGTCGCTCTTCCATTACCGTTTTTTTGCGCCGTGCGGCTACAATAGAACCCCTTTTAGAAAACTCCTCTTCAGTGATTCTAAAACGCAGGCTGAGCAAAGCCATGACATGACTCTCATCTGATGAGGCGAAAAATTGAGGCTTTTAAAAATTATTTTCTTAAAGAAATGCGGCAAGGAACTCTGCTGCATTTCCTGCTTTTAAGCAAGCAAGACAGAGCCGCCCACTCCTAACCCATAAAAATACATTCTGTACCGTCCGTGTATTGTGTTTTAAAATACTTAACCACATTTACAATGACATATGTACCATATTAAATGTGTGGTAAAAGTTTGAGCAAACCTCTCAGAGTTGCTGTCATTGGTGGCTCATCGTCGCCACCCTACGGCGTGCAAAGCCGCAACCCAGCGCCTCGGTGGTCTCCCGGTCAGACAGTTGTGGCCCCCATCTTGGGGTGCCTGAGGACTTTAGATGCTGGAGTGTGATGACGACGAGCTGCCGTTGACAGCAAAACGGAGCGGCGGCCAAATAAATGAGAGAGGGCGGGTTGAATGAAAGCTCATTGTCATTGAAGTGAATGGACCTGGCGACATGTGCAAGACTCATGGAAAGTTGACTATTTTGTCCGTTGGCACATCAAATTGTAAGTATTGTTAAGTATTGTTGTAAAACACAATACATGTGTCCTGTATGTACTGTATTTTTATGACTTGGTGGTGGACGGCTGTCTTTTGCTGACTTGAAACCGGCAAAAATTCTTTGAATTTCACGGGCTGTAATTTGTGACATTAACTCATGCAACAGCGATTCAGATTTTGAAATACCTCAAAACCAGCAGTAAAACTCGCCACTCGTGGAATCTTATTGCAGAACCCTTCATAGTGCGAGTATGCTGCAGTAGAGGGGGCTGCACAGTTTAGTTGATCCCACACAATTTGTTTGGGACCACTTTGTAATGGAGAAGGAACGTAGGCCAGGCCAGGCGAAACGAGGCTGGCGTGGTCCCGGGCCAGGCTGTTCTGAAACCTGTAATGGAAAAGAGGCAATGGGGTTTCTATACCTATGACACCTAGAGTATCTGAACCATAAAAAAATATACATTGTATGTTTTCCTATTTATCGAAACTTGTGGCCCTGCCTGTATACAATGGTACCTTGAGAAGTTTTCAACTGAAAAAAATATGAATTTACACACAGGAAGGCAGTAAATATTCCTGTGTTTGCTAACGGCAACATTCAGCATCTGACTGATGTGGAACGCTGCATTAAGGAGACTGGCGTGCAAGGGGTAATGAGTGCAGGTGGGTAACAAATGCTTTTTATATGCATCAATTGTTTTTTTATTGATTACAAACTATCTGTGTTATTCAGAGGGTAACCTCCATAACCCAGCACTCTTTGAAGGACGTAGTCCCCCAGTTTGGGAGATGGCAGATGAGTACATTGAGGTGGTGAGGCAGCATCCCCCATGCAACTTGTCTTATGTGCGAGCCCATCTCTTCAAGCTGTGGCATCACACGTATGTATGTCTTTGTTTTTCTGTTTTTTTTTTTTTTTTTTTTTTGAAAATCTTTTTCTCTTATGGCAACCGCAAAACAAAATATAAATTATTTGTTCCAAGCACAGTTAAGTTTATTGGCTATTCTGCTGAATTCCTATTTTTGGGGTGTGAGCAGCGACTGCTGTGATGGCGTTTTTGTAGAAATTATCATGCGTAAAGATTAGTGAACAAACAACACATATTGGGCTCAGTGAAAATTTTGACATTTTAAAGTTTTCGTACCAAAATAAGAAAAGGGTCTGTAAAAGTCAGTCCTGTTTTCAGCCCTTTCATCCACCTTTATTGAGTAACCTTCATAGAAATAAGGCGAACATTAGGCCAATACCTTTTTACGGTAGCTCCCTGTGTAGATCTCGTGCGTTTGTTAAGACTTACATGGGTTTTAGCTGCCTTTGATAAGACCGCCAGGACTCGCGTATGATTCAATACAAAGCTGGAGTAACTACTTAGATTCCTTTTTGGCAAAAAACGATGTCATGGTTGTAGCTGTTCTTCAATTTAAGAGAGGGTAAGCGTGTAATAAAATCATAAGGGTGACAAGAAAAAATGTCATTTATATCTTTTGAAGATTTAGTAGCGAAGCAATAATTTTAAACAATAATTAAATAAGATGGTTGATAAATATCAAAATATAAAAATTATGACAGAAATTAAATAGTAAAAAGATCAAATGATTAAATTATAATTTTAGAAGATTTAATATCAAAGCAGTAATTCAAACAACAATAATCATCAATCAAACAAGATGGGCTGTATTGAGTTGATAATCACCAAAATGTGAAAATTGCAGCATTTAAATAAGATCAATGTGTAGGTTATAATTTTTGAAGAATCGATTCAAAGAACAAAATGAATAAGAGTAATTTATAAAAAGAAATCAATGACAAAAAAACCTAAAATGATTTTTAAAAGGTTGGAAAGCTTTTGGATGATAATCCTACTTTGGGTGAAATCAAGAGTGATCAGTTCTTAAAATTACATGGCGCCTAATAATCGGCCGAGAAATTCGTCAAGTTCAAATGCAGTCAAATTAATCGTTTCAAATTTGCGCTGGATGTGTTTGTCCTCCAAAAATGCTCAAAGAGCCTTTGCCTTTTGATCTATCCAGCTTTCCATTCGCTTTTCCTCCATTTTTAAATACTGTGACAAGTGAGGACAGCACAATTGGTGAATACTGTACACTTGCAATTAGCTAATGGTGACTTCCGATGCGAAACCGGCACAACCTCAGGTTCAAACAACCAATCGCCGTTCGTCAGCACTGCCCACTCCCTCTGACCATTCTTCATAGGTCCACAAAGGTTTGTAGGTACTTAGGAAAGACCCTTATGGATCCTCCCAGACCAGGAAACCTTTTTTTGTGTGAGAACAAGGGGATTACACAAACTACAAGGGTACATAGGGAAGCTTTAAAATTGGTTCCTGTGCTTTGAAAGCCCCTTATAAATGATACCATGACACTCTTTTGACTCAAAAGAAAAATAGCTGTTGTCAGGGTTCGTACGGGTCCTTAAAGTACATAAAAATCAATAAAAAAGAAGTTGTAAAATTATGTACTTAATTGTCCATAATTTTCAGGGAAATCTTCTAAAATCCATAAAGATCCATAAAAACTAACCTGCGGTGTTCATTTCATTTGTGTATGTCATTTTCCCCACCCTTACAATTCATAGTTTTGTCGGAACATGCAGGATCTGGGACCCGCTCCGCTTTTTCCGCCGTCTCCGATTATTTCCGACGATGATCACGTGATCACTTCGGGTCATTCCGGGAAACAACAATAGGTTGACGCCATCCCGGGGCAGTGAATGGACGTTTTGGTTGCCGGCTTGGCAAACAATTACCGTACTTTCTGGAAAAATCTATTCATCGAATTTATCGATCTCAACAAGTGACAGACAAATATGTAGCGACGCCACTCGAGCGAAGCGCGCCTTAGCAGTCGATAGTCCGCTGCTCTCTGTCGTGTGTACGTCAGCTAAGCTTAGCTCTTGTTTCGGCTAGGCTAGCGTTTTGTTGTCGTAGATCAAAGTGTATTTGATTTGTGACATCGGTTGCTTCCAAAAGACATGTTCGCGCGGACGCACACACAGCAAAGAGCAGCGGACTTTCGACTGCTGAGGCGTGCTTCGCTCGAGTGGCGTCGCTACAAATATTCCGGGACAATGCTATTTTCAAGTGGCGTGGCTGGAGAAGCCGGAGTTCCGAGTTTGGGTCGAAAAAATTGCTCACGATTATACGTCGGTCTACTGCCGAGTGTGCAAGAAGGGCATCTCCGTGAGAGGTAAAACTTGTCATAGCCTCCTGGTCAAGTCAAATGCATTGAGGCACACAGCAAAACAGAAGAAAATTGATCGCCAAGAACTTGCAAAAGAGATTGAGGAGAAAACTAAGTCACTGTCTGCTATTCCCTAATTGTCATATCAGTTTCATATTTGTCATTCTAAAACATGTCTGATCATTGAAGGTGACATGAGGGAAAATAATAGGGTTGGACCCATTTGGGATTTAGACTTCTGACATGCATTTCAGCTGTTCAAGTATACTGGATACTGCCAAGATGGGCAATCAGTACTACTGTTAGTGAAACCAGATTTTTCTAAACCCTGTCCTGGTGACACATATGACCATTAGCTCTGTTCTTTGTGTTGTGTTTATTTGAAAATAAATTGAAGTTTTATATTTTCTCAATTTAAATTTTTCTTTGTGTGTTTTATTTGAGAATTAGGTTTTTTTTTTTCATTTTCCTACCTGTAATACAGGTAGGAAAGTGAAAATTTGACATACAGTATGTCAAATAAAGGGCTAAGTGATTGCCCCTAAAAATAAAGATGTGCCCTTCCTTTGGCAGCAATGATTTGAACACCAGCTCAGTGATATGTGGCTTTCTGTTCAGCCCGTGTATTGCTGAGCGGGCATTAAATCCATCGTGAATCCCCCGCTGAATGGAGAAAAAGTCCTTAAAAAATGGCTATATTGGTCCACAAAAGTCATTAAAAGGTCATAAATAAAAAGCAAGTGGAAGAGTGGGAACCCTGGTTGTAATATGAATATGTATTTACGATTAATCTTAAATCATGTGATGTTCTGTTTTAGGCTTCAGATCCACCACGACCTGAGAGAGGAGTTGGCTAAGGTGAAAACCCTTGAGAGTTTGGCTAATGTTAGTAAGCAGCTGAGGCTTCGATGTCAGGTAACATCTGTTTTCAAATCACCTCAGAAGAGAAATATTATGACTCCACATCACAAGTTGCTGTATCTGCCACTCAGGAGGAGATTGCCAGAGGAAATTATATGGATAAAGAGAGCAGCCTGCCCTTCCCTCACTGGATCTGCCAACCCTACGTCAGACCACCGTGAGTGGCTACCTTTTCCAAATGTCTTCCCTTTTAGGCCTCTCGCTAATCTGTAGGGACTGGTGGTGCAGTTGTACATGCAGACACCGTAGATTAGATTTCAGGCCAGTGCCTCAATACATAGCCACAGCTGGTCCCATGCTCAGTTAAAAAAATTGACATTTTGTCAGTAAGGGTAGTGTAAAAACTGTGCCAAGCGAATAATGCGGAAACTTCATCGTAGCGACCAATGATGGGACAAGCAGAAAGTCGTAACAATGACGGTATTCTGTATCTTCTTTCCATTTGCCTCTTACAGACCAAAAGATGTGTCTGTCAAAGGTAAGGTCCAGGATAAAGAAGTAAAAACAACAGGGTGCCAAAAGAGAGTACTCGAGGACACAACTTTGTCAGCTCAAATACTCTCCAAAAATAAACAGAAGAAAAGATCCCGCAATCCAAACAAGAACTTCTCTCCTGATCAGAAACGTAAGTTTAATCTGTGGAGAAAGAACTCCGACTTTGTAATGTTATGTGTGTTCTGATTTTCTCTGTGAATCAAGTGACCTTCTGCTACCGTTCACCTGTGATATGGTAAACCCTCAAAGCAGTGGCAGCAGTCAATGTAGTATTTCCATGTTCATACGTTAATTGGAACGTGGACACTTGTGGTTGCAATATGATGGGCACCAATCATAATAATAATAATAATAATAATAATAATAATGATTATAATAATAATATAGATGTACTGAAGAGAACCCAAGAATGTTTTCATAAGGTGAACGGTCATTTTATTCTTCTCAACCTAACACAAATCTTAAGTACTGGACATTTCCAAACAGAATAGAAAACAAAAGATAGTTTTACAACAATAAAATTGAAAATGCCAGCACCAAACAGTAAAAAGAATAAAGACTCAAAGCTATGTAAATAAATAAATTAAATCATTAGTAAACCCCTCTATAATAGTACTTCAATACAAATCATAGCAGACCTAAATTTTTTTCTCATTTATCAAAGTCGGTCAGGTCACATTCAATGACAATTATTTTTTTATTATTATTCAAACCAATAAAAAAATAGGAACTCAAATAAAAAGTAATGTCATTTAAAATAAATGCATGAGCCAAATAAATAAATCCAAAACCTAACATAATTTGCTGACAGATCTCCAACAATCTCGAGAATGCCTGCACCTGAAGTAGTTCTCTTAAATAACAATGAAAAGCTCATTCATCATCTTGCAACAGAAGAGGACAGTGGCTAACTTTTTCCCATGTCCTCATGTCCACAGCACCATGGTGGTGTGGTTTTGGATTCATGACGGGTCTTGTTTTATTCAACCATTTATTTTACGTCAAAATCAAAAATTACATTTGATTTCAGTTTGTGTTTTTGTTGTTATGAATGAAATGGACGGTTTGTTTTGAATATCACACTATTGTCATGGGTGTCCTGACTGACCTTGAGAAATAGACCTTTGACTCATTGATAAAAAGTCTTTGTGTGCCATTAGAATTGATATTTGAGTATCCCGACTCTAGAAGTGTGTGTGTGTGTGTGTGTGTGCACGCGCGCACACACACACACACACACACACACACACACACACACACACACACACACACAGTATATATATGAAAAGCATTTTGGTACTTGCAGCTGGATAAACTTTAACTCTTTCCCCCCCAACAGCCAAGTACATCAAATGTGAACAGTGTGGCAATCCAAAGGTAAGCTGTCAGTTTAATAAATCAACCCAACATACTGTGTCACACTTCCTGAGATGTTAGAACCATGAGCAGTTTTCAGAATGTTACAGCACGTAGTCGAAAACATGCATGTTATTGTAATTATAACCTCAGACTGAGATGTTCAATGTTGAAATGATTTTGGACATCCAGCTTTGAATTTCTGAAAGACAAAATGGTGATTTGTTGGATTGCCAAGTATTTATGTATTTCATTTTGTTTTTACAGGGAAATAAGTGTGTCTTCAACCTTTGTCGAGGCTGTTGTAAGAAGAAAGCCTACAAGGAGGTGGCAAACTGTTTAAGTCAGTACAAATGCACATACACATCAGCACATTCATTTCTTTGTTACATTTAAATTTGTAAATGGGTGGTTTTACTAACAGAGGTGGAATCAAGCCAGTAGTAGGCTTTATTTCAGACTTGTTCAACTAGAACATCCAAGGCTATGTTCACTCTCCAGCTCATTTCCAATTTTTATTTTATTTTTTTGCAGTACAATTCCGATTTTTTTGCTGGTCTGACCTGGGTGTCTTTCGTATGTACCGGTATATCAATCGGATATGTATGAAATGCATCTGCAGTATAAATGCTCATTCGTACACATCCGATCTTTAGGTCATCAGAAGCCCAATATGCCCCCCCCCGCATGGGCGAGAGAGAGTGCTTGGCAGGTTACGGCCAGTCGTCCACAAATCTGCAAAATTGTTTCAAGTACAGTCGAACCTCGGTTTTCGTCCATAATCCGTTCCAGAAGGCTGTTCGAAAACCGAAATTGTTCGGAAACCAAAACCACCCTCTTTTTAAAATAAAAATGTTTACTGAACATGTCTGCTCACAATGGAAAGCAACATGAGGAAGCGTCACTTCCTCGTCTACCCGAGGAAGTGTCACTTCCTCATGTAAGGAGGGCGAGAGGAGTCAAATGGTGTATTCAAGTGCGCTCAGTTTGCTCGAGAACCGAAATTTGTTCGTCATCCGAGGCACAAAAAACTCGAAATTTTTCGGTCGAAAACCGAATTGGACGAGAACCGAGACGTTCAAAAACCGAGGTTTGACTGTAATAATGTTGACTGATATTTGAGTTTAATGTCACCTGGTACATGAAGCATAAAGCAGACATTTGTGGTGATAGTACACTTAAATCTGGTGTTAAACTGTTAACAAATGTCTATATGCCTCCGCAGTACACGATGTTAAAGTAACATTTATGAAAGTGTTAAATGTTCAACACCCAATAGGGTGCTACAGCAACAAAAAATAGTGTTGACATCACAAAGATGACATTATTGAGTGTTTAGATTAACACTTGAGTGTTCATGCTAATACTGTACAGTGTGGGGAAAAACATACCCCTTGCCTCACTATCTTAAATGAAACACATTCAAGATTTCAGTTCAAAACCGTTTTCTATTATGAAATACTTTGTGCACTTCAGGCAGCTCAGACAAAAGAGCACTCGATGTATATTCTTCATGTGAAAACTGCCCATCACGCCCATAATGAAACCATGTCAGACAGACCAATAACAATGAATAAATCCTCATCAAGTTTCAAATTCATTCTGTTCTTCATCAAAACCTGTAGTAGTCAAATTTGTGGTGAAAAGAAATACCTTCATCATAAAGATGGTAATTTTCCTAAAAGTAGAGAATTCATTTTCAGCACCCACACCAACAAACATTCCATTCTGCCATTCAGTTCCATGGCTTTTCACCCAGGAGGTAGTGGCAACACTTGACATTACATACAGTGTTTGACAAGACCCTTCCACCAGGAATGATGAGTGTACATCTTTCTGTGTAAATGTTGGCCTCATCTTGAAAACTGGCCGGTTTCCGCACGTGTCATTATGGACAGGCATTCATCACCTGATGGCTGTTCATATGTTTAGTGTTCTTAGGTCACCTTCAAAACCACATGGCAGCTAAACAGAGGAATATGGACACAAAATAATTAACATGACATACCCAAGTCAATTTCTTCGAGGTTGACATGGCCAAATGAGAGAACCCAAGAGGTTTGTGCAACTCAATACTCACCTAACTAGTTGGCGAGACCTTGTCTTCCAGATTGGGGAGGAGAGTGACAATTCCGCTGACATACATTGCTATGAAATAGTATTTGCCCCCTTCCTGATTTCTGTGTTCTTTGGATATTTATCACATACAAAGGTTTCAGTTCATCAAAACAATTTTAACATCACACAGAGACTACTCAAAGGGAATATAAAATGCAGATTGTAAATGATGATTTCATTTACCAAGGGGAAGAAAATTTCAAACCTATTCGGCTCTATGTGAAAAAGTAAATGCTAGTAAAAGCTCTATTGTATTCCAAGCAGCAAACAAGTGATTCTCATTAAACTGAGTAGAGAGACACTCGGGCTGCTCAGTCGTCCAAAAAAGGTCATGGAAAAATATGTTGGGAAAAAATGTGCAGCTCGTCACTCAAGCTACCTTCATCTACTCAAACCAACACATTTAATAACGTGAATTAACCAAATTGGCTGTGCAGAACATGTGCATCATATGAAATTCAACGATTGGCCAATCTGTTGGAAACGACAAGAAACTCGAACACTCAATTGGAAAGCAAGTTATGAGGCATTTTTTTCATCAGCTACGATCATATGAAACCGTTGCCTACCTTAGGGAGGTTTGAGTCCATCGTACAAGCAAAGAGGAAAATGATGCTCAAGAAAATTGTCTTGATTGTAACCAGTGTACTTCAATCAGAACGTAAGGGCGTGGCTTCAATTTCAAATCAACGAATCGGTGTTATATCTGAGACGACAGTGGCAATTTCTGAGCGGTGTTAATGCAACACCGACATTCTGTTTTTAATAGTCCCCAAACTTTTTACACGGTGTAGTTGTTCATTCATGCAGATGGTTCATTTGTTACGCTTGGAAATGACGTGACGTCATCTTTAGTAGACATCTCCATGAAATGAAGAGATTGAGGAGGGTCGCCTCCTATCCCTAAAATATTTGTACCTCTTCCCACCTCTCTGCTCTGTTGATATGAGATGATAAGATGAGCCCCTACCACGGACTTATATATGATCGGACTATCAATAAGCCCCTTGCGGTTGAAGCCGTCTACATGTCTTGGTCATTATGTTGACATTTTAGTGCATGTTTGTTGAAATTTTGAATCTGGGGCAAAAACTGTCTGTGTGGAGCCATCTGCAGGTTAAACACTGACTGCATGTGAATTTGGCTTTCTGTCCTCTGCTTTGACTAACAGGGAATCCTGACGTCACTACCAGAATCTTAACGTAGTCACTCTGCCTCCATGGGTTATACAACCGGCTCAGTCTCGTACATGCCTCCGTAGCAGGTTGGCGTTGGAATAGTAGCGTTTGCAAACACCTTTCTATCGATTTTAAGGTTAGTGATTTATTAGCATAGCATTTGGTTAGTTTATTTGCCATAGCTTGTCGTAGTGTGGAATTTATTTCGGTCGAAGTTTGTCACTGCTGATGTCAATAAATACCAGACCACACCCCGTGGTCCTCCAGGCAACATCCGCTTTGAGTGGCCTTTTCAAATATTAGTGAGGGGTGGAGGAAGAGCCTGGTAAGGGGTGGGTACCACTTTAAGGGGCCCCAAATTTTACGAGGGGATGCATTGGATATCATGGATTGAGCTTCGTGCATCAACACTATTCAAGGAATAGCATGTACTTGGCTTACTTCGCATGCTGCTTAAAAGACAAATATAATTTTATTGCTTTCAAGGACAACTAAGGAAAGTAAAAAGTACAGTATTCACATTTGACCTGAAATCAGACAATTTGGACTATTTCATGGAAATAATTGTTCAAAACGGTTTCTTCCTTTAAGCTTTCTGTGCTATAAGCTTGCTGGTAACAATAATGTCTCACTGATTTGGATTTCTTTTTGCCACTGGGCATTAAAATTATGCTTCATTGTCATTGTGTTTTAACACTGCGGCAATTGTGCACTTAAGCTTTGTTTGTTCCCTATGTGAGAATGGTAAATTAAGTCAAGGTCAGGACTTTTATGAATGTATTGTTGAGATTGTTTTTATTTATTATTTTGAATGACTGAAGATGCTTCAATGTTAAGTGTCTCACTGGATTAAAAAAACAAACAAAAAAACGTATGATCCCAAAGTAAATTGAGGGCAGAAAAACAATGTTAGGCCGTGACTGGAGAAGGTGAGGTGGACCACCTTCTCACATCAGTATTTTCCTCAGTTGTGTATTTTATAGGAGGGTGGGTAGAAAAAAGGACAAAAAAAAGCTCCAGAGAAGAGAGCACACGAACAACTTGGGAGCCCGAGACGTGACATGGAATTTTTTTAAATTTATTTTAATTTCCAAAAAATAGATGAAACATGGACACACAATGATATTATGGCCATAAAGTAGATATATGGGTGGACAAAATATTTTGGTGGTTAAATGATCATGATATCTGGGTAAGCAAACGCCTTGCACCTTTGCTTGAAACTTCCATGAGAAGTGTCAATTGCCTGCAGTGTACTAGAAGGTTTTTGGAACTCATTCCCAGCCTAATTTAAAATTGAATCTGACTGACATCCATTGTCTCCAGTGACTGAAAGTCGCTCACAATTTTCTTACTCAGATGTTAAGTAGGGAGCTATCAATTTATGTTGAATGGCCACATATTAGCATTTTATATTTCAATTGTTTCTACATTAATAATAACTTTCAAAAGGTTCCATGTGCCCACTTTTCAACTTTGAGCAACTGCCACTCCAAAGTTCTCTTCACGCCACTGTCCTGCATCCATCCATCCATCCATCCTCCATATCTCTCATACTCACAATGGTTGCGGTTGTGCGACAGGCGTGTGAGAGGCTGTATAATAATTATTCGCGATGACAGTTATTGGAACCAAAATATTTATACTTTACGGTGAAAAGTCAGCATTTGTGAAATATGTTATGTTCAATGATGAAAACAGTATGTGTTTACTCTGGTTGACAGGCCATGGACTGAAGTTTAAGACCAAGGCAGAAGCAAAAAAAGCTCAGGAGTCCAAGAGAGATGCCGAAATTGAGATGGAAAAAAACTGCAGCCCCCCACAGTCTCTTCAGCATCAAACCACATTACTACAGGAGTACAAGGCATAGCTTCCACCATGGACCGGACAACTACCATATCTTCCTTCATAAACCTTGTGGTTCTACTCAGAGCGGGCAGAGGTTTTGCTGCTTACACTACCTGCATTTTCTCTGATAAACACAAATTGGTGATCGTCCCATTATATTTAAAAAAATGACAAGTAGAACTTCAAAGCTAACCAATATACAGTAATTTGTGACGATCAAAGAGTGTTGTTTGGTCATCATGATTCCGGCTAACTTGGTGACAAAATGTTAAGTCAGATCTAATCACTGATGTAAATTGAAAAGCATTGCACGACCTGCTTTGAATATTTCAGAAGCCTGGGTGTGAAGTTGCATTTGTTCAATAATCATAATATTTCATTTGGTGCAAGTAAATGTACATGTACGAGGTAGCCATGATTGTATTCTTGAGCACAAACATGTAACATACAGTCATCAATGTGAACTTCCTGGTGTAGAGGTTGACCTTTGAACTGAGCTACCTCAATCATGGCACTAATGACAACAATGGGAATAATTCTGCTATAGATTTTCTGAACAGTTTTCTTCGAATTGTACCAGTTCTTGCTTTCATCACAGGTGTACATTTTCTTCGCTTGTTTGAGCAAATGACTTTGTTACTTTCATCAGCCATCAACAATTAGAGGTTTTGAGTCATTCATTTTGGTCATTTTGGCATCTTGTCCAAGAACCTGTATGACACATCTGATTTTGAGGAAGTCAATACATACAGTATGTGACTGATTGTTCCATGTTTAAACAAAATAAAGTTCCATGAAAGGGGCTATGTCAAGACAGACCATTAGACAGCCCAAACCTTGAAAGCGCACAACTTTTTACCCCTCCCAAACTCCCACACTTATGCTCGACCCTTCCTCAGTTATCATCATGTGGAAGCGTCGTAACAGGGTCCCACTGATTTATTTATGAGTAATACAACTGTTTTCTTTTGATAATTTCATGAAATACATGAAATCACACATCTACCTCTTTCGTTTCGATGCATGCGGGTGAGTGCTTGGAAGTGAGACTATTCAGATAATCGTCTTGACACTCTGCAGTGTGAATGTAGCTATAGTTATAGAGGTTTTTTTAAAAAAAAAAAAAACATTTGTAAAACATATTGTGATGATACATAGTTATTAAGAGGTGGATTAGATCACTAAATACCCACAGAAGGCTCAGGTTCAAATCTCACCGCCCGCCACTGGTTTGTGGTACTGTATTCTCATCCTAATGTTCTGTCCTGTTCTTGTGTGTTATATTTGTACTTCAAAACAGTGAAACATATGTATTTGTGTGAATGGGTGAAAGAACACTTCCTCGGCAGGCGCTTATTGAAGTTTAGTCGATTTACAACGAAATACAGCAACTTACATTTCTTTATGGGCAGATATGCCACACATAACATGGCGGACTCGCTAACGTAATGTAGCAACTGGCAAACAAGTTCAATCACATGTTTACGCATGTGTATGTTCAGCATGTCACGTGATCAAATTGTTTTTGCGTGAGTTGTCGAACGTAACATTCCTACTTCCGCTTTATTTTAACCGTAATTTATAAATGGAGAGACCTCTCAACACAGACCAAATTCAACACTTAAACGGTCAGTCAAAAGACTCGCTCAAGAACAGTTATTCATTTTACTTACCCTTGCACGTCGTTAATGTCTTTCTCATCTCTTTTTTCCCCAGATCGTTATAGACAATGGCGCAATTGGAGCGGGTTTTGGTGAGTGACAGCTGGTCCAGAACCGTGATTGGTGTCGTTCTGCTGTTAATTAAATCGACTGTAGTTATAGAGCCGATAAATTCACCTCTAAAGTAATGCATACCTGTCAACTCATACGGTTTAGCCATATTTTATACGGATTTTGTGGTAAATCTTACGTATATGGCCATATCGCACAAATCATACGGATTCTGAAAATTTCCGGTTTTTTTTTTTTTTTTTGTATTATGGAGATCTACAATATTGTGAAGAAATGCCTTGCACCCGAGGCAACACGTCATGTTATTGAACATTGCCGAAAAAAAGCCATTTTCATTGTTAATTGATGAGTCAAACGACCAGAAGACTGAAAAGAGACTTGTGGTGCTTTCCGATTTCCGAAAATCGCTTGCACCAGAAACACTGACAGCATTATTGCAGTGCAAAGTAAATATGAATGGATGCTGTAATTTCGAGCCGATGGGTCAGCATTTGGAGTTGGTGAAAAAAGTAACGCAGGAATACAACTCTGAACACAGTAATGCCACAAAGTAGAATGATGATTAGACATTCACCTGCCACTGTATTATGGAGATCTACAATAAATATCATTAAAAATTTCGTGTTGTTTTTTCTGCCGTTATTTTGACATATAAAATGCTTTGGTATGTTATAAGGATTTTTTTGGTAGTTTATATGGGTTGGCCGAAAGGTTGACAGGTATGGTGATGGACAAACCCGCTGTGCTAAAATATGAATTTAAAGTGATAGTTCCCATTGTCAATACGGTGCTCGGCTGGTAGCACGTCGGCCTCACAGTGCAGAGGTGCACGGTTCGATTCCGGCTCCGGCCTTCCTGTGTGGAGTTTGCAAAGGCTCCATCCAACATGTCCACGGCCCTCTTGAGGAAAAGCAAATTAGAAAATGGATGGATGCAAGTTCCCATGATAAGCTATCTTTCAATTAACTTTCAGCCTTCCTGAGCTTCTTGTTGGCAGGTTTCTATTCTCTTAAAAGTCTTTCCACGACATTATTTGATGTTATGGTGTTTGTTTTTTAGCTTTCTATGTCACTGCATGTAGACATTATAATGTTGACATGTTCATCCGTTTAACGTAATTTAAATATTGAATTGACCTAATAAATAAACACTTACAGTTTAAAACCCTTGAAAAAAAATTACTTTATCTCTCAGTCATGGCTCCAAGGATTTTTTTTCCTCTCCTGGTGGAGAGAAGCTGGCAAAATGATTTATAAACATATTTTAAAATATTAAATGTAATGATGGTGTTGCTTAACTGGGGTGAGATAGATTTAACACCCCAGATTTTAAAAGCTGAATACGGTATGTGGTCCGTGAGGCTGTGGGAGAGTCCTTGGGAGACTACTGACAATCGTCCGTGAATCTGCTAAGTTGTTTAGAATGACAATGCTACTTTTATATTTGACTTTAATTTCATCCCACCTGAAAAACAAAGTGAAAGTTTGTTCGTCCACACATAAGGTTCATTTTTTTCCGCAATGAGTTGACGTTGCATTGAAATGAGGAAATCAAGGTCGTATCATTTTACCAAAATATTTCTACCTCCCCTTGCCTATCACAGACGTACTCCGTTCACATTAAAAGTTGCATTTGTTTTGTAATGTGAACAAGTACATAAAAAAAAAATGTGAAGTTGGCATCATAACTTGCAAGGTGAACATGACCTTATTCCGCTATTTTTTTTTTCAAAATTGGCCCCATTTTTGGCCTTTAATGGAGGTCGCCTTTTCAAAAACTTCTCCTTCAAAATGTTGCTGTTTGTTCAAGTAAAAAAATAAAAGCCTTTTAGTTTGTCAAACACTGTTGCCGTGTTGCCGATTCCAAGACCAACGCAAAAGTCTCTTGCAGTCACTTGCTCAATGTAACATGAAGTCCACCATTTTGAATATTTTTTTCAAATTTGGCCCAATTTTCATCCTTTTATAGTGGTCACATTAAGAATTCCGTAGCGATATTTCATTCAATTGCCTTCAAACTATATTTTTCATTTTAAGATCTTCAACAGAAGTAAAAAGCTTCTTTTTTTGTCCATGTTGTTGCCATGGTGACCCAAAATAATCACTATTATGATTATCTTTAGTTGATTGTGTAGGATTAAAAATAGCTTAGTTGTGCCCACTCCAAAAAAAATATTGATAAAACAGCTCCGGTTTGCTAAGATCTACCCAAAGTTGGAGGCATATGTCTCGGCCAAAGGCCTACAAAAAAAATCTCTGGAGTCCTATTCTATAGTCAACTTGAAGTTGGCCTTTTAAAATTTCCTTTTACGGTTATTCTCAGTTTTGGCCTTTTATAGAGGTCACATTTAATCAAATTACTTTTTTATTCTGATTGACTTCATTCTCTAAAATTTCTAATTTAATGTGCCAATACCCCAACATGGGCAAGGCTATGAAGGCCTTTTATAGCTGTGCTTAACTCTAGGTTTTTTTTTTTTCTTCCTTCATGAAATTTACTGGAGTTATCGTATCAGTTTTAAGCTATCGACGTTTTCTGTGCATAGCTTGTCAGAAAGGTAGATGATAGATAGATGGATGGATAGATAAGACACTTTTTTCATCACATGAAGGGAAACTAAAGATGTAAATGTTATGTACCCCCTATTCTCTTTGTTCACCTTTTCAGGCTCTTGGGATTGTGCAACAACTTTGCATATGTGGTTATGCTCAGTGCCGCTCAAGACATCCTCACAAAACAAGAATCCGGAAACGCCACCATATTTGTATGTCAATATTTTTTTTTCTTAATTACAACAGTTGAAGTGTCTGTAAAATGACAAAGCTATATGGCGTGGACATAATTCTTGAAACACACCTTTTTGTCAATTCGTTAGTCACTTAGAGTTGCTTCACCCACCCAATCATTGTTCCTGAATGTTAATGCTTCAACTTGAGGTGTCTAAATTGACGGCATTTGGAAAGAAATTTGGAAATAACACTCTTCCCTTTGATTGTGTTTCTCTTCAGAACCCTTCTTTAAGTACATTGGCTACGGAATTTCAAGACGTGAATCCTGGCAACGGCAGTCGCTATGACTGCAATTCTGTCTCAACAGCGGTCAGTGGGAATTATTTGTTCAACTTTAAACAAACTCGACTGTGATGAAATATCCAGTTTTATTATTTTTCTTTTTTCTTTTTTTAATGCATGGCACTCTAGGCGTGGCCCTTATATGAAGTCGGCAGGCAATTTCAGTGAATGAATGATCGAGAAATCTACGAGTAAAATGATATCATGTTTTAAGTTTCATTTAATTTGGGCATGTCTAGATGTTTTGGTGCGTAATCAACGCCCCCAAATTCCTGTGCGCAAAGGTGTCGGCCGTTTGGGCGGAGGGCTTTTTGAAGTCCACATGCAATCACGTTAAAGCAAGGGGGCGAACAGATGTAAGAAGACTAGACTCGGTCACGAAGTGGGAGTAAACAATTTAGGAACGAAGTGTTGTAGAACATCAAAAGACGGTTTGGGAACAGGTGTTGCGCCCAGGCGGACATTTGTCATCTGTGAAGTCTACGACTTGCTTATTCGTTGTAGACCAGACTGGAAGGTGTCAGCGTATCTGTGGTTCAAAGCTTAAACCAAGTTCATCAAATTACTAACCGAGGCGTGGTATGCAAATATCGGGGGCAGTGTTTTTCTTGGATTTTGCATATGTAAACAATAAAAGCACAAGGAACTCTGTGATCACGGAGCAACTGCCCGTCGTTCGCTCTTGGAGATCCACTCCTGCCGATTAGAAAGACAATCTTCCCTGTGTGTCGAGTCGTTTGTTTAACTTTGTTCGGGTAAAAAACTCTGACAGAACTGGAGGCAGAGCTATAAAATGACTTAGATACACTACTAGGTGTATTTAACAAATCAATTTAGGTCACAGTTTTCCAGTCAATCAGAAGCATTTAGGATTGGGAATATCACAATAATAATGATGATGTATCAATTATAGTATCTTAAAAAAAATCCAAACACTGTATATTTTATTTATACCGGTAATTTGTGATGTGTGAATGCCATGGTATGTTTGTGTCAATTTAAAATGTTTCAACCAACCATGCTTAATCATTTATTTATTTATTAATTATTATTATTATTATTATTATTATTATTATAATTGTGTTTTTAATGTAGTTCCCTTAACACTGTGTACCAAGATCAGTAATGATATTTTGCAAGGACTACCACAAGGACATTTAAAATGATTGCGTATTGGTTTATGCAAATCAGATGCAGTTCATCCATGGTTTAAATTTATGCTGCATGTCTCATTTTGTAAAATATATTGATCTGGAGTTATTGTATCTCTAAAAAGTCAAGGTAATCATGCTTATGGACGCCCTGTGATTCTTTTCTTTTTTTCCTCCCCAGGCTGTACTATTAGCTGACATACTTCCAACTCTCATCATTAAGATGACTGCTCCGCTTGTTATCCACAAAGTGCCTTATGGGTAATGGAAAAAAAATGCAACACCAAAAAGCTTTCGATAACTTTTCATCTAAAATCTGCATCACTGTCCAAATACATTTGATTTTAATTGTAGTAGCGAAACACAAATATATATATATATATATTTTTTTTTCCCTCTCCAACCAATTAAACAATTTCACTACCTGACCCACATTGAGCAAAGTACCGTATTTTCTGCACTATAAAGCGCACCTTCAACGAATGGCCTATTTTAAAATTGTTTTCATATCACGGGCGCACCGCATTATGAGGCGCATAGAATAGAAGCTACAATAGTGGCTGCGGTTGCATTATGCATCCACTAGATGGAGCTACGCTAAAGGGAATACAATATGGCTTTATTTATATTGAGCTTTCACAACCGCTGCAGCTGTAATAAAGCGCTTTACAGAACAATGAAAATACTACATCCAAGAAATCAGAATATTGATCCAGTATAGAATATGCATCGGATTGTATGGCTCACTGTCAGCTTTTGAGAAAATAGAATGGTGAAGTGGTTAGCGCGTTGACCTCACAGTGCAGAGGTACCAGGTTGGATTCCAGCTCCGGCCACCCTGTGTGGTGTTTGCATGTTCTCCCTGTGCCAGTGTGGGTTTTTCTCCGGATACTCCGGTTTCCTCCCACATTCCAAAAACAAATGCCTGGCAGGCTGATTGACCACTTTAAATTGTCCCAATAGGTATGAGTGTAAGCGTGGACGGTTGTTCGTCTGTGTGTGCCCTGCGATTGGCTGGCCACTGGTTCAGGGTGTCCCCCGCTTACTGTTTGAAGACAGCTGGGATAGGTTCCAGTACGCCTTACAACCCTTGTGAGGATAATGCAGACCAGAAAATGGATGGATGGATGGATCAATGCTTTTAGGTGCGTCTTCTCGCCTGGAAAATATGGTACTCAAAAGAAGGAAAATTAACTGATGATGGAATGAAAATCTTGGTAGGATGGGTAAGCTCCAAAACTTGGACTGGTGTTTGTTGATCTAAAACCTGTATACAGTTGCTGCATATATTTGAATCTTCAATTAACAGAATATGGAAGCTAAAACAAATGTTGCATTGTTTTTAGAATCCTGTGTGTAAATATTGATTTTTGTTACAGATTTCGAGTCTTGTTCTGCGTCACCATGGCTGCAATGAGTTTCCTTGTCGTTTCCTTCTCTTCCACTGTTTGGATGAGCATTATAGGTAACAAATTTAAAAACGCCTTTGAAAACACCTTTTTGTCATAACTGGTTTGAATTGAAAAATCTGTAAAATCGTATTAATGTCAGTGATTTTTTTTTTTTTTTGTCATTTCTATTAAGAATCTTATGTCACCCAAACCTTTCAAAGACAGATAGATCTGTGCAATCTTTTTCTTCTTCTTCTTATTATGACTATTTAAATACTGTATACTTCCAGGTGTGATTTTTGCCAGTACCAGCGCAGGATTTGGAGAGTTATCCTTCCTTTCCCTGACGGTCTTCTACAGCAGGTATATACTGTACCGCCCAGGAGACTGTTGTTACCTTCATTTACTCATTAATTGGAGGTCTTGCTGCCGAACGTTGTGTCGTCAGGAAATCAAAAACTTGTATTGAGTTGGGATCAGGTGGCTAACTTGGACATTTGTTTGCCTTGAAAAAGCCTTGTATTCCACAGGAATTCTCAGTAAGATTACTAAAATGGATGATCATCAAACCCTTTTATTGGTAAAGAAAAAAAACCTTCACAACAAAATCAATTAGATTCCGGAGAGCAAGCTTGTCATAATCAAAATGTGCAATCAAGAGACAAAACCTTTGGATCTAACTGCATGTTTCATTACTGAGAAACTAACCATGATTGATGATACAGGAAAAGTTAACTTGTTGTCTCACCTGTTGTAGGGATGTACTTGGGGCCTGGGGTTCAGGGACTGGTGGCGCCGGTGTTTTGGGGGCCCTTCTTTATGCAGGCCTGACTCAAGTTGGCCTTTCACCCCAAGTCACACTGTTAATCATGCTGACCATTCCATTCACCATGCTAATTAGGTAAGTGAGAAAATAATCTGTATAAATAACACGCTTGAAGAGTAAAATTGTCTAGTGACATCGACATCACGTTAGCTTTTACTATGTTTGGCACAAAGACCTGCAGGCATGCCAGTCAACAGTTTGTGTTGCAAGTACTGTACGTCTAAAATAAAAGTAGGGTGAGTGTTGACATTCTAAAATTTGGGCACAAGGACATGACTATGTGTGGGTGTCCACATTTTCGCCGTGAGGATATGGTGGAACGGAGAGAGCACACTACAAAAAAAAAAACACCACCACATTATTTGAGCACTGAATTATCGCACTACCTGAGCATCAGTCAAGTTAGTAGAAAGTAATTGGGAATCAAAATAATGTATTATTCTGAAATTGTTATCATAAAGTTAATCTACTCCTTTATTTCTTCTTCTAGCTATTTTTTCCTGCTGCTTCCACCACCTTCATTTCCTCAGTGGAAACACGAAGAAAGAGATCACGGCATCGAGACTTCTGAGGAAAGACAGCGGCTAATGGTTGAATCACAAGAAGAACAGGAAACATGTAGCCAAGGTAGAAATAAATTCGAATGTGTTGAACAGAATTTCAGTATGAAGCAAGCTGATGGCCCACAGAGAACCTCTTCTTGGAGGGACCGAGGGCAGCAGCAAGAGCACTGCTGTGTTTTCAAATTTTCCGCTGGCCATGAGGCGCAGACAACACAAATGGGGGTAACCTTCCATTGTAAAAAACGGCCCACAGGGCAAGCACGCGCCAAGCTAAAGACAAGGGGGTACGGAGGGGTCCGTGAGAGGCAAACGGCAATCAAGTGCCAAAAGTCACCCGACACACAATAGACAGCGATATGGCAAGGGAAGGGGAAACGGCAGACGCCAAGTAAGAATGAAACTCCTGCGTGGAAAGGTGTAATGCCGCAGGCAGGAGAGAGGATCCACTCGGCAATCGACACCATCTGAGGCGCACGAGGAATAGCAAGGCCAGTCTGCTGACGAAAGGCTGCAGCAGAATTGCCGAGAAAAAGTTACAGAGGGAGAGTTTAAATTAGGAGAGGAGAGAAAAGCAGCCATCACTATGAGAGGCTGGTGAAATACGTCAGCGGGTAACATTTAAGACTCAACGCCACACACAACAAAGCTGGGAGGAGGCGCGAGATTGTCACAAGTAAATGCCACAGAGTCAACCGCATGGCAACTTCACTGGAGAAAAAAAGGGCGGCAGAGCCCGACACCGTCTAAGACGGACGCTAATGCGGATAGCCGCTAATCAAGCACCCAAAGACACACCGCGGCATATACTGTAAATCAGGGGTCCCCAACCTTTTTTGCCCCACGGACCGGTTTAAGTCAGACAATATTTTCAGGGACCGGCATTTAAGGTGTGGCGGATTAATACAACAAAATAATATGGTATGAGCTGCATGAAAACTGTGGTGTTTTCGAAATATAATAATAAACACAAGTCTAATCTAATCTGGTCGCAACACTCTTATCGCTATGGTAATGTTTAATGCCTTCAAAATACGATACAACGCAAATTCAAAGTGCATGAAAATGATGACTCACCACAGCCCCGAGCTTGATTTTCTGCAATCACAGTCCCATCTCGGGGTAATAGGAGACAATGACACCTCAAGTGTGTGGTTTATGTCCAATCTACTTCGTAATTTTGTTTTAGTCACCGTTGCTGCAGAAACTCCCCACCTCACACAGGTAGGATGTCGGAAATAGCAACAGTGCTATTGTGGCGATCTCAGAGTATTCAGCCAGAACTTTAATCCAGTTGTCTCGAACGTACTTTTAAGGCCGCCGTCATTTGCGATCTCCAAGCAGCTTTTTTACTCATTTTGCGGGCTTCAGCACTTTGTTTTTGAGCGTCATCGGTCACGTGACCGAGAAGCGTGGCTTGACGTGAATCAAGCGTGACACAGACGGATGTAACGGAGAATCCGGTAATTTTTCAAAATAAAACACCACGCGGTCACAGACTCCCAGCGCTGAAAAACAGCCGAAGAGAATGAACAGGGAAAAGCATGACATAGTGGCAAGCAAACCATCGTGCGAGAAGGTTCTGAGAGACTGTCGTTCAGGTGCCATGAGATTCTATACACACTGTGGGTCGTCAATGATGTTTGTAGGTATGCATTCTTGAGCTGATGATGCACGAAGGGAATATTCTGTGTTTTAAGCACCGCCCCGGCGGTCAGTATGAACGTCATAGAACAAATCGCAATCCTAATTATCGGAATATTTTAATGGGGAAAAAACACATGACAATTTTCTATCAATCCCTCTGGACCTGGGTTGAAAAAAATTGGTCTAATTGTGGGCCAATGAAGAGATGCTGTTCATAATGCTTCAAAAAAACCCTGTAAATAGTCATGCTTATTTAGAGCAGGGCTATGAACACCATATTATGTGTCTCTGAACAGAGGACAGGAGGTCCGGAATGCTCACTCTCACAGAAAAAATGCACGTCTTAAAAGTAAGTCCAATATCAATTCAATCAATCACATGGATAGTCCAGTCGATATGAAAAGTCTACACACCCCTGGTGCCAGGTTGTTATGGCATAAAAAAAAAAAAAAAAAGAATTCAAACCTATTTTTCCCCTCCATGAATGTGACCTCGAACCTGTATAACTCGATTGGAAAAAAAGAGGTGAACTAGAAATAACTGAGATAATGTCGTTGCACAAGTATTGGCACGCTCTTGTAACTTGTCATGTAGCTGTGTTCAGAATTAACTCAGATTAAATGACCGGCAATGCACCTACCAGCATTTAAAATGCCTCACAATTAACCCAAATCAAGACAGTCCAAATCAAGTGCGGAAACTATAGCTCCTTTTCCAGCACAGAAATTTTTCAATTTACCAGAATAAATTGGATTGACCCTTGTTTCCACCAAAATGATTTAGTTGGGTCACTGTTGTTGACTGGTTAGCATGTCTGCTAATGTACTTTTCCTACCTAATTTTAATACTGAATTAAAATGTTCCCAGTTTATTTAAATGACTTCAATGATTATATATAGGTTCTACGTCAAATTATAGGTGGAAAGTTTTCAAATTATTAACCTTTTTATTATTTTTTCCACATAAAAAAAACATTTGAACAGATGTGTGTAGACTTTTATCACCACTGTAATTATCAAGATTTCACTGCTTGACTAATTTCTTCTCAAATCCTTTAGGGTTTGATGCCATTTGTCTGTGCCTTGGGATTAGTCTATTTTGCCGAATACTTCATTAACCAAGGTTTGGTAAGTTCGTTGTATCACAGTATCAACACTATTCATTTCAGATTTATTTGAAGTCGTAGTTGTAGGAATTTGATGTGAAGTATAACTTGGAAATTAAACTTCTGTTTTCCCAGATGGAGCTTTTGTATTTCCGGAATATTTTCCTCACCCATGCAGAGCAGTATCGCTGGTTAGTAATTTGCATTAAAATATCCATCTATCCATTTTCTGCTGCTGAACCCTTTCAGGGTCACAAGTCAGATGGAACCTGTCTCAGTTGAAAGCGAGACATGGAGAACAGCCCGGACAGGTTGCCAGTCAATGATAACATACATACTGCCCTGACACGCATCCGTTCACACTCACATTCACACCTAAAGTTGAAATATAATCTTTTGAAATTACTTAATTTGAACATGTAAAATTTGTTGAATTGATGTACCGTATTTTCCGCACTATAAGGTGCTTCGGAGTATTGTAAAGTGTCCTTGAGTGTCTTGAAAGGCGCTTATAAATGAAATGTATTATTATTATTATTATTATTATAAGGCGTACCTTCAACGAATGGCCTATTTTAAAACTGTTTTCAGCGCACCTTCGACGAATGGCCTATTTTAAAACTGTTTTCATATATAGGGTGCACCGCATTATAAGGCACATAGAATAGAAGCTACAATAGTGGCTGCGGTTGCGCTATGCATCCACTAGATGGAGCTACGCTAAAAGGAATACAATACAATACAGCTTTATTTATATAGAGCTTTCACAACCGCTGCAGCTTTAACAAAGCGCCTTACAGACCATTTAAAATTGTACGTCCAAGAAATCAGAATATTGATCTATATAGTATATAAGGTGCATCGGATTATAAGGTGCACCGTCGGCTTTTGAGAAAATTGAATTCCAATAGGTGCGCCTTATAGTGCGGAAAATACGGTACATTAAAGAACAATTAAATTCCCAACAACAATTCCCCTCTGTTTGAAAATTGTCTGGTTACCAGATTTTAATCATGTGCATCTGATGTTCAAATTTCGTAAATTCAAATGATTTTTTTTTTCGATGCATAGGCAATTCATAGTCTTCATTTAACTTACCGTGCATGATTTTGAAATATATGACTCTTGTTTTATGTTGATAGGGAATACATTTCATCTGTGCTGTATGGTACAGCACATTTGACAATAAAGTTGTATTCAATTCAATTCAAACTGAAGTAGAAAGAGAAACCCCATACAAGCATGGGGGAAAAAGAGTACATGCAGAAAAGCCAGAGGTAAAATTTGAACTCGGAGCCTTTGAGTCCGCAGCAGACAAACAAAGATAAAACAAGATGAGGGAATATAAATTATGATAACCTTATTAGTCCCATAATGAGGACATTTGCACACCCTGAACTGGTTGCCAACCAATCGCAGGCCACACATTGTCACAATCACACAGAAGGACAATTTAGATTGTTCAATTAACCCATGATGCATCTGTTCGGGATGCGGGAGGAAACCCAAATACCCGGAGAAAACCCACGCATGCATGGGGTGAACATGTAAAAACACCACACAGGATGGCCGGGGCCTGGAATTGAACCCTGCCCCTCTGCACTGTGAGGCGGACAAGCTAACCAGTCGTCCACCGTGCCACCTGCTGTAGACAGAGTCGTGACATCATATATGTATGGAATGTATTTTTTCTCCTCTGTATGGATACTTATGGGGCCACCCTGTAGATAATTTCTAAAACACGCAGCCATCATTGAACAAAAGTATTCCTACTCTTCAACAAATACAGGATGACTCCTAGGGTACCCTGCATGCAAAATTAAGAGTACTGTATTGGCCATGCGCATCGGCTGCACACACGTCGAAGGGCCACGGCGGAGGCCCACATGGTTGTCTGGTTGCGCTCAGTCAGAGTAGTAACTTTGTCGGACACAACAACAAAAAAATAAATCTGCAAAAGTAAGTCTGAGTCCGAGCCCGTCCCTGAAAAGTTTTGGATGTGTGTCTACCGCCGCCAATACTTTTGTGTTCATCTGGGTCTGGGCATGGTGGTGTGTGCGTGCATTCCCTGCGTGGCCTTTCTTACACGGATTTCCTTTGCGTAATAAAGAACTCATTGTGGAATACATTATGATTTTTACTTTTATGAGCAGCTAAAACATCAGCGGTGAAGATCACGAAGAGGAGTTATTGATGGACCGGGTGAAAATGTGGTGTTCTCATTGGGGGCGAAGGGAGAGAATGGAGCAGGAAGCAGCAATAACCAGCCCGTCGTACTGTAGACCGTTGTATTATAATCGAGGCCGAGCTATGTGACAGGAGAAACAAAAAATGTTCGGTCTTGGGTCACGCGGTGGCCTCTCCATCTCAAATTCTCGGGCCAAATTTCGGGGATGATATATCGAATGATTGTATTTCTTTAATTTGAAGTATTTGCAAAAAAAAAAAAATCATTGTGGTTCCTTTTCTGTTAGGTATCAGACATCTTATCAGGTTGGTGTGTTTGTATCTCGATCCTCGCTTTGCTGTATCAAGATCAGAAAACTCTGGGCCCTGGCTTTACTACAGGTAAGCCGTATCTAAATCTCATCGAAAAGTTTGAAGAAAAAACATGAACATGTTTTGTGTATATCCCGTCTGTGTGAACCTCACCTGATCGTAGTTGGAGTGGTTTGCGTGTCTCAATTATCCAAAGAGCTGAGTTGTCTGGGGCTTAATGCCCTTGACAGTCACCCATGGCAAACAGGTTCAAAGTGAGGGACCAGACAAAGCACAGCTCAGAAACCCTTTATGATGAACAAAATGATTCATCCATGGCCACTCTCTGGAGCCAGGTCTGGAGGTGTGACCTCGTTGGCGAGCGACTGGTGGTTGGGCCTGCACCCAAAAGGGCTACACATTTATATTTACACGTGTGTGCGTATGTGCGTGTCGGCTGGTTAGCACGACAGCCTCACAGTGTAGAGGTGCAGGGTTCTCTGGCCTCCCTATGTGGAGTTTGTATGTTGTCCCCATGCCTATGTGGGTTTTCTCCGGGTACCCTGGTTTCCTCCCACATTCCCTAAACATGCGTGGAAGGTTAATGGGACACTCTAAATTGTCCTTAAGTGTAATTGTGGCCGCGAATGGTATTTTGTTGATGTGTGCCCTGCGATTGGTTGGCAACCATTTCAGGGTGTACCCTGCCTACTGCCCGAAGACAGCTGGGATAGGCTCCAGCACACCCCGCGAACCATGTGAGGATAAAGCGGATCAGAAAATGGATGAGAGAGAGAGAGAGAAGAGAGAGAGAGAGAGAGAGTGGAGGGATGAGAGAGAGAGAGATGTTGCTGTTGTTGTTACATCCCATATATATATATATATATATATATATATATTGTTACATCCTAAATAAACAAAATCAAAACACAGAGTGAAGGAAAACATTTTTGAATTAGGATGAGTCCGGCACGAGGTCAGCTCATATATACAGTATGTGCATGCAATTGTCGCATACCCAATGAATGGTTATGACTTTGTAAGATTATATGACTTAACTTGGGACTGTCTTATTAGTTTGTTCATTTAGTGAAGGTTCAACTTTTTTTTTTTTTTTTTTGCCACAGCAACTTGGGGCTTGCTTGAAATTTGACAATGAAGACTTGAGACTTATTTATGACTTCCACTAAGACTGCTGGGATCGGCTGTGACTTACTCCCACTTCTATAAGAAACCCTAACCCCGTTTGTTTACTCCACAGGTGGTGAATGCAGTGCTGCTCTTGTTGGAAGTGTCTTACCAATTTCTGCCCAGTGCCTGGTTGGTGTTTGCCATCATCCTCTATGAGGGTCTGCTGGGTGGAACTGCATATGTGAACACATTCTACTTCATTAGCAAAGAGGTCTGATTTACTTCAGAATTTTTTTTTTTTTTAACATTTTATTTGGCCAGTCAGGATAGATTTGCACAATCAAAATGCAATTCTACCAAGACGATAATATAACACATTAGTTTTCTTTCGATTCTGGCCTATTATGCTTTTCTCAAATTAAGTTTGAGTTATGTTTAATTAACATTCTGACAACAAAGTACAAATTTACTGTTGATCTATGAACACACTCAGTCCGAGCCATTTGCGGCATAGCCAACGCCGAGTGCCAGCCATTTTTGCAGATCTTTGAAGGCGCAGAGAAAATAGTGTTACATGGCGATATAAACATGGAACCTACCAAAAGAAAGATTAGCCTCACTTCTTTCAACAGAAAACCCCCCTGCTTATTTCTCCGATTTGTCATTTTTTTAGTCAATGAGCATTTCACTCTAGGCAGGGTGAATCACTTTCCAATCAATGCAACCATTCCACTAATGTAAAAGTTTGGTTATTCTTGGTTTGAGGGGTTATACCTGGAGACAAGAGAAGGACTGTGAGATGATGTCACGTCGCTGCTCATTGCGTGTTGTGACAAGTGCAGTCAATCAATGAAATGTCATTGGGAAACACAAACGATCTTAACAAATCCCAGCGGAAGGATCAAAGCAGAGTTGGCAAAGATTTATCTCCACCCTTAACGGTCCTGGAGAAACGACAGAAATTGATATGTGATAGATTTCGGCGATGTGTTGTTTGTAACTACCAATAAAATTAATATGTTTGTCTAAGATTTTAGTTTACACACTACGTCAGCAAACAACACAGTAACTACCTTTAAATCGGTCGACTGACTTGTTACAAGTTTGAAGACACCCATGATGCTCATGAGGCGACACCCCTCGGTTGAAAATGACCCTGTGTTCACAATATTTTCAATCTTCGTCCACATGTGTAAATGACGGTGTCACTTTTGTACAGTTGAGTGAAAGCGCTTCGTGGTACATGTCAAATTGTTGCACATCCACAGTCCATTTTCTTTGGGAAAATCTCTACAAAACCCTTTTATTGAAGGATGTACAAAATGTGTCCATGTTGTCATAATTTTCTTCCTTCCGACATGATACAAGTAGACCACGCTCATCCGTACAATTTTTATTGATTTTTTTTTTGTAGACCGGAGACAGACAGAGGGAGTTTGCCATGGCGGCAGCCAGCGTTGGAGACAGCATGGGCATAGCTTTGGCTGCAGTTGCTACTTTCCCCGTCCACAGATACTTCTGTTCCCTCTGATCCAGCCGACACACTGACGAACTCAATAAATATCCCCGGTGAGCATCAATCGTCACATTCACGCTAGAGGTAAGATCGGGCCAAAAAATCCAGCCCGACCTGACCCGGCCCGCGGGTATTAAAGCCCGACTCGGCCCGAGCCCGACCAATTAACTTGATTTCCAGGCTCGAGCCCGAAGCAAACCCGAAATTTCACATTTTATTTATGAGGACTCGGGAGGAGGAGGGGTGATTTATGATAACAAATTAAAGCCCGTCTTTTGTAACGAAATCTAAGTTAAACAAGACTGTATAAACATTTACATCTTTTATATTTCTGTTTCTGCAGAGGGTACATTAACCGACAATTTTCCATCATTGATGGATTTTTTTAAGAGTTGACGGGAAAAATTTAAGGCCATGCGTCATTTTGACGGGTTGAAAATTGGGCCATAAACCACAGCAGCAGTACGTCCTTAAGAATCTAGCGCGGCACTTTAGGAGAGAGAAGCAAAGAGACAAAGAAGAACAATAACGGGTGGATAATAGACAGACAGGAAGGAGTTCTTTGAATTGTCATTGCAAGAGTTTAGTACAGTACGTGTTGTGATGAGGCGACTTCTGTTTTTTGCGAACCACGGGCTCTCGTAGCCAAAACTATTCACGGCCTCGAAACGCCTCAGCGCACTGTGATGTTTGGGGAGCAACATCACAGTGATATTTATTTTTAAAAAGTCAGCGAGAGAGAAGCCCGGCCCGACCCGACCCGAAGCATTGATTGACATTTTAGGCCCGACCTGACCCGAATTTCGGGTTGGGCTCAGGCTCAGGCTCGGGCTTAAGATCTTACCTCTAACATACACACCAACTAAAAGCTCGCAAGCCGTTATCCACCAGTATGCTACAAGTTGTCTGCATACCCGCAAAAGACGGTACCTTAAACCATCTCAAGGGAGACAGGGGAAAACCGAGCACATGCAACCTAAAACAAGATAACTCGACTCACAGATACTTTTTTTTCCCCGATTTTGAGGCATGTATTTTGAGAGCAATAAAAAGTGTTTTCAAAATGAGCTTCCTGTGTATAGCTTGCATTTTTGTTTTTTCTCTAAATTAAAGTTCATTTGAGTTGAGTTGTGCTGCCACACGCTGCCTCGGCTGTCGTTGCTGTTCATGAAATCGTTTTAACCCTTTCAGGTACAGCGGTTACTACAGTGGACAGCTTATGTGATCAGGTTACAGGGTGCATGAAAGGGTTCATGCAAATATCTGATCAATAACACAAAGTTGGTACAAAGGTACAAAGATTTGTAGGAAAACTATCATTATAGAGCAACACAAGAAATGGGAAGGAGCTGTCATTTTCATGCCTTCACCTCCATACTACTTAACTTGATCAACATATTTTCATTTATGTAACTGATAATGAATTAATATAAATGACAAAACCATTTACAAATAGTCATTTTTATTGCGGAATTGAGAATTCAAGAGATTTTTGGTAAAGGGGAGGTTTTTTTTGGTTTCCAAAATAAAATACAAGATGGGAAACAGCCACCATTCCAGAAGGCATCAGAGAGCACTAACATCAGACCTGCTGGGTGATCATCTTCATCATCTGAAAAGCCATTGGTCCCTGATCTGATGGAATCTGTAAAATGACCAAAGGAACACTTTACACATTTCAAAGCAAGCCAGTTCACAGTCCTACATTTAGAGTTTGAGATTTTTCATGCTTCTTATTGGAAGGGAATCAGAAACTCCAGCCGCTTGCCCTGTGTGTCCATCTGTCTAGTTTTTCACATCTCTGACGCTAAAAATGTAAAACGGATCGAAAAAAAAGTCAACAACTACAAAGAGAACACAGCTTTAGAAATCAATCCATCAATTATTATCCGGGGTCGGGTCGCGCAGGCAGCAGCTCCAGTAGGGAAGCACAGACTTCCCTCTCCTGAGCCACTTCCTCCAACTCTTCGGGGGAGATCCCTGGGCATTTCAAGGCCAGCTGGGAGAAATAATCTCTCTTGGGTTGGCCCTGTGGCCTCCTGCCAGTGAGACATGCCTGGAAAACCCTCACTTGGGAGATGTCCGTAAGGCATCCTAATCAGATGACTGAGCCACCTCATCTTGCTCGTCTCAACATGGAGGGCAGGTACCTTGACTCTTGAGTCCCACCCAGATGACCAACCTTCCCCCCCTATTTCAAAAGTTTGGTTTCTGCTTGACGCATGCGCATGGTCTGCACGGCTCCCCGCGGCGAAATTATTCCATTTCAGGAGCCACACTCCTGCGCACGGCATCCACACTGCCCACAAATTTCCTTATGGGGACAATAAAGAACTCTTGAATCACTCAGGACCAGATCAAGAGCAATCGCTTGTAAACTGGCCACACATGAGGATCATGAATGGGATATGTTCACGAATTGGACCTTGACACTAAGCAGAAAGTGGAGCCATGTCAAATGTTATCTTAAGTATATGATAACATTTGCGGCGGGCGGGACGCAAATGGACAACGGGGCGTACTTTTGACACCACTGACTTATACTATACTATTGTCAGTCCTCTTAATCGGTTGCATCTGTATTCCATATATATTGTAATTTCTTACCATGTGACCAGCTTTAAGGATCCAATAGAAGGCAAAGTTCTGATGAGTCTTGACGAAAGCTCCAGTAACTCCGGGGGAAGTCGGGTCATCCAGAGCAGTCCAACTCAGCTTGTTAAAAGCAGGCAGACCTTTCCACTTGAGCTTCTGCACCCACAGCTCTTGACCTGGATGGAAAAGTCCATACATCTGCCATGAGGTTTTACTTTAAAGCCCCTAGAAAGTGACTTCAGAGATGTGTCTAAATACATTCTACTGAAGATAGATACTGAAAATGTCAAGGCTGAGAACAATGTACAGTAGGACTGAATTGTGGATATCGGGGCGTTTTTCACCATTTCTATTTTCCTGACATTCGGGCGCGTGACTCAAACAGCGACCAATGAATGCCTTCATTGGCCCAGTGACGTAAGTTTCTACCTCCTCAGCATGCATTTAGCCAGCTAGCTATCCCTTCACTCCCAAATGCATCTCACTCAAACAGCGACCAATGAGTGCCTTCATTGGCCCAGTGATGTAAGTTTCTACCTCCTCAGCATGCATTAAGCCAGCTAGCTATCCCTTCACTCCCAAATGCATCTTCCCCGAATAACGCAACTTACAGAACAGATTTGACAAGATATAATCATGTGGGTCAAGTTACAGGAGCCTTTATAGTCATGGTGTCGCCAACTTTTAAACTAAATTAAAAATGGCGGAATTACTGTTAGATTTAATATATTGCTCCAAGAGACTTTTTTTGTAGAGCTTTGCCTTTTGCATGTACAACATAAATGTTCATAGATCTAGGTGAAATGTACAAATGTGACTGCTTTGTTAATAATTTATAGGGAGCATGAGTGAGCCATTTTGTAAAAATTCCACAATAAATTCATAAAATATTGGTGAGTTTGCCAAGCCTGATGTGTGTGCGTTGAGTTGAGTTTTCATGCATGTTTAGACCCTGAAAATTAGTGTTCTTTACTTGACCAACTACGCATCGTCACAGCAAAAGTTCCACAAAAACTCGCAAATTTTGTGTTTTAACATCATGACGGCCTAAGCACTCTAATGTTCATATCTCTGATAATGATGGTAGTCCCACTCGATTTAAGGAATGCATTTTGGGGCACAATACATTTATTTAATGACGCTTTAAGGGCATTAATCCTTGTCATATAGGTGTCGATTGTGTTACTAGTTGTTGAACGTGTGTCATATTTAACTGTCACGTTTGTTTGAATATATATGCTGCCATGACTGTGACTTGAGGTTGTGTGTAAAATTGTGACATGCATGTCAATTCTTACAAAGCATTAACATACCACTTTCAAACATACATAAACATATACCGTATTTTCCGTACTAAAAGGGGTACCTAAAAGCCTTCCATCTTCTTAAAAGCTCATAGCGCGCCTTAAAGTCTGATGCGCCTTGTTTATGGTCATTACGGTAATATGTCGACCCCAAAATGGCTCCTTGCTCGAGACATGCTGACAACGCAAAGTTCAACCTTAAGGCGATCGGTTACGCAGTTGAACACGGAAATAGAGCAGCGGCAAGAGAGTTCGACGTTAACGAGTCAATGTTATAACTTGCTGTTGGTTAAGTGAACTGTGTCGCTGCTTTATTAAATCGGTTTTACTGACATCTGATCGTTCTGTTTGTGTTTCCTTGAGTGTAGCGCCATCTAGTGAATACATTGTAGATTGCGTCATATAAAGCGGTGCACCCAATGTATGAAAAAAAATTACAAAATAGGCCATTCATTGAAGGTGCGCCCCATAATCCAGTGCGCCTTTTAGTGTGGAAAATACAGTAGTTAGAGAAACTGCATCTTAACTCATTCACTCCCAAAGACGTGTCAGACTTGGTCTAAAATTGACTGGTACTGAATAAGTTTTAATAGGCATCCGTCTGACATGGATGCCTTTAGTTCCTGATAGTTAAAAAAAGCACAGGTGGGCAGCCGATGTGTCGTGAGTACCGATACCTTGAAATAAGGCCTGCTGTGGGCCCAATACCGACATACATAGTATCAGTACTCGCCCATCCCTACTCGTGAATATGAGAAGTTGAACCTAAACCTTAAAGCTTTCAGTTTACATTATAGTCCAGCACTACAAGATATAGACAAAAAAAGGTATTTGGTACTATACGTTACCTATAGTGTCCACTATAAGGTCAAGCTGTCCGTTGTAAACAGTGACGTTAACTCCGGCAGTCAGCAGCTGGTCGACAATGTTCACCACCGGTCTCATAAAGTCCCCAGCCATGTACCTGAATACCTCATCTGACTGGCCTGAAAACAACAGAAAAATAAGGGAGCTGGGTGGGTTAGTGAATAATTAAAAATAGATATTTTCTGGTTGTAAAATATATTCAATTGGATCAATACCTCCCCAGGTGACGTTCTCAGGAATAATACGCAGCTTCTCTCTAATAGGTCCATTCATCAGCTCATTTAGTGATTGGCTCTGGAGTGGACGAATGTGTCTTAAAGCCTGCAGGGCTGAAAAAAAAAATAATTCAATGATCAAATAAATGCATGTATGCTGCCAATAAAGTCACTTATTTTTATGTTAACCAGGTAATATATGTGAACAATCTTGTCAATCAAATTAACAATTATGATTTATAAATTTGTATGGGAGTGTTTTTTTTTCCTCCGCAAATGAATCTTTTTAATAAAAAAAAAAGGTGAAACAAGATAACAAGTCTCGGTGCTCAACAAACTTGAGTAAAAATGGTTCATCAGAGCGCCGAGTTGCCCAACAGAAAAGTAAAAGAAGGTGCAGCAGTTTTCAGACTACAGCAGAATTTATATTGAATGTAAATGTTGAGTTTAAACCTGGCCTACAATAAAATGTCACCCTCTCTTCAGCGAACATCACACAAGCAATGGAATGGCAACAGTGTCTTCTTCTTCTTCTTCTTCTCCTTTCGGCTTGTCTCTTTTTCCCTCCTTTCAAAAGAAATCTGTTCTAAGTAAGGAACATTTGAGTCTTGGAGTCAATATCAAACCAAAATCATTACTTTCACACCATAGCAAGCAAACAGGCCAAGAAGTCATTATTTATCACACCATCCACAGTCATGCTTTCATGAAAAAGGCACACATTTACCAATCTTGCATACACACTCTTATTCACAGGCCAGAACAAACCAAAGTAAAAAGCAACAGAATTGCGAAGAATTGAGAGATTTTCGTGTCCTTGTGTTTTCTCGACATAATTTGAATGAATGAGCCATTGATTGGAGTATGCAAAATGGTGTCGGCCATCCGTGACAAAATATTCAGCTAACGAATCAGCGCAAGAGATTTAAGGAGACTTTGAGACAGTACAAAAAAAAAAGGCAAAGTCACTGTCAAGAAAATTGCATTACTGGACCTACTAAATTAAGATCAACATGCGTAAGTATGGCGGACGCATGCACAGCCACAAAAGTGGTATATTTTATTTAATAAGCCCATTCCTAGAGTCCATTCAGAAAAGTAAAAAACCCTCTTACATATCAAGTTCTTTCCTTCTGAAGAGGCCCATGTATCTTCTGCTGTCTGTGAAAGAATGTTGTAGAAGTTGACTCCGTTGCTGTTCTAAGGAAAAAAGAAGAGAGAAAATGACAAACCATATTATCACCACAAGGTGGACAGAAAATTTTTATTTCAATCAAGTGACTGTGCAAAATAAAATCATCTGGATGTCTAAGCTTCTCCGCCCCTGCACACCCGCCCAGTGCCTCAAGTCAGCGGACCAGACATAATTAGAGGTACAGAGAACCAAGCGGAGGCTCAGGATCAGAACCCGAGTGGTGTTCTGTCAATGGACTTCTGTGCTCGTCGCGGATTGTCCACACTGTCATCAACACCATGTTCAAAAATAAACATGCCAAATATGTGCACTTGGCATGAGGAGACCCTAAGCCGCAGTTTGATGATCGACTTTGTGGTCATGTCTTTGTGGATTTGCAGCTGCATGCTATAGAAAACGCGGGTGTCAAGTAATCACCACATGGTGGTGTGTTCACTCCGATGGTGGGGAAGATACCAGTCCGACCCTGCAGACCCAAATGTACTGTGAGGGTTTGCTGGGAACTTCCTGTGAGACACCCGAAGTAGCAGTGAGTCACAAACAGTTCTGGTTTTGGTTTCCCGGGGTGGTTTGTTGGAATGCCCTTTATGTCCCTATTTAAATGATCAGCAGCCCCTTTAGTAGTACTTAAAGGTCAAGTGTGAACTAATTTTGGAAAATCTCGAATGAAATATTTTCATGTCACAAGTAATTAAACAAAACACATTAAATGAAGCATGAAAAAAAATTTCTAATTTGCAAATTCAAGAAGTACCGGTAATCGTTTTCCTGCAGTGCGATCCTGGCAAGCGACAAACCCGAAAAGTGTGATGTCGTTCAAAGAACAACAATAGTGCAGCTCAATATGAAAAGTGCACAAAGCCAGTCAGAAATTGATTGGAAAGAAATGCTTTAAACTGATCTGAGGGGAAGCAGAGGTTGATGGTGTTCTCACATGGTTCAAGTCTAACTCATAACAGTGGACACTTACATAAGTCGCAACCATAATTCACGCAAAGGCTCACGGGGTCAAGCAGTACGGTGGAAGCAGTAATTCAAAAATTATCTTTTCATAACACTGTCAACACCAAATTAGGGTCCACAGCAATTCCGGTTCCAAAGTCAAATCCTTAACATTTTAGCTTGGGATCATATTGTAACCGAATCCATCTACGGCTTAGCTAACATGGAGGATATGCAACGATTTATCGATGTAGGTTCATTCACGTGTGACCTTAAAACTTGAATTATACCGATATTTAAGTCTTCTATCTGTATGTAATTATAATAAAGGCATTACAAAGCACCTGAAGGAGATCACATCAAGGCAACATGAATGCGCCTATCCTGAACCTTGAAGTACACACGCTAACCTTAAAGCAAATCTGTTCTTTCCTCATACCAACCTGCTCAACCGCCGACTCGGCCGCAGACCACAGCTCTGTGGCTTTCTGAAACTGCTGCTGCTCCACAGCATGTTTCACTGCCTCCGCTGCACTGTTGACTTCATTCAAACCGTGATCATCCAGCAGTGACTGCAAAAAGATAACAGGTCAAGTGAAACTCACAGCTAGAATTTGGAGGGGAAAAAAAAAAGACAAAATGTGTCTTTTTATAACTTACAATAGCATGAAGGTATGGTCCCCATGTCATCACGGAATCTGTAGATGAAGCACAGAGATCTTACATGCTAACCTAAGACTTTAAACTGGATTCATGAATAACCATTAGATAAGCCAGTGTATGGTTTTGATAACCATAAAATGACTAGTTTCTAATGTTATGAAGCAGTTCTGTGGAAGTGTCACGATACACAAATCCAAGATATAGAGCTGACTGATACCAACCCACTGGGGATATCCATGAGTCTCCAAGTGCCACGCCAGCAAATTTACATTTCACCTCCCCTTGTGCTATTGCCTGGATTATTAAACAACAACAAAAATCAAACACTCACAATGACAGTTTAAAACACTGTGTATTTAAAAAGTCCTCCGGTCAGGCCGAGTGACAAGATAGACCTTCAGAATAGGGAAAGGTGACTGTATTTTGTCAGGTCAATTCAGTGACTCATTTCTGTTTATCTTTTTGTTAACAGTTGGCTGTTGCGGTTTGTTTAAATTGCACAGTTGAGATGTTAAGATATATTTTTCGATATTTTGACCAGAGTGGAATGCGATGAAGTGAAAAAGGGAAACCGGACTCACCTTTGTTAGTTCAAGGGATATGGCAGCTGCCATCTTTCCTCCATATGATTCAGAAAATATATAGAAGGGGACACTCTGGAGAAAGTAAATGAATCAGTCGGTTTTATTTCAATTAAATGAAAACCTAATATAAAAAGAGTAGAAT